ACCATTTTAGGGAGACACAGGTGGGTGGAGTATGCTTCAAAGAACCGCTACAATGCTTCTCAAGTCCCACCTGAATGGCACGGCTGGTTACATTACATAACTGATCATACAGGGGACGAGGTTAGATAATGATCCGTTGACTAAGGGCGTGCTTGGATAAAAATATATTGGAGTTTTTTTAGTTAACCATCGTTAATTTTAAAAAATGAAGTATGGTTAGTTAGTGGGATATTGAGTTTCTATGAAAATAAAATAATAAAAGTTGATTTGATGTTGAAGTAGGAGAGAGACAATGTGAAGTGATGGTTAGCTATTATTTGAGTGGATGAATAATGAATCAAAATTGACATGATGTGTAAGATTATTAGATATTATTTAATTATAGGCCTAATTGCTTATAAATGCATGACCTTTTCGAAAATTGCAATTTTATGCACCACTTTTAAACTTGGCAAAAATATGCACCACTTTCATTATTGTTTGCAAATTTATGATCAGGGCCCAATTTCGGGCTTTTATAATCGATGTGGCATTATTTCTTCAAACGTGTCAATTGTTATTCCAAATCTATATTCCACGTTGCAATTGCGTATATAATATTGAGAATCTCATCTTCAATCGATGAGCTATCCAAAAATTCCCCAAATTTCCTAAAACCCTAAATTCGAACGGATTTTATGCACGAGGCGGTTCGAAATGCACAACGAAAAGACAAACTGTGCCGAAAAATAAATCGTCCGGTGGAGGGCAGATCGGGATTTACATATACGAATGCAAAACCTGCGGCAGGACTTTCCCCTCGTTTTAGAATTTGGGCGGCCACCGGGCGAGCCATAACAAGTCCAATCCGAATTATTCCCTGACGACCGGAGAAGAAGGTGGATCGATTTTGTCTGCCGCCGCCGCCGATGTTTCTCCCCCGCAATTGATAGGTAAGAGTTTGAATGTAGAGAGCAAAGTGAAAATTCACGAGTGCTCCATCTGTGGATATGAATTCGGGTCGAGGCAGGCACAGGGTGGCCACATGAGAAAGCGCAGGGCCGCGAGCAACAACGGCAACGCTAACAAAAGCGCCAATGACTGCGAGTCGTCTCTCGATGAAGTAGGCGAGAGAGTAGGGAACCTGGCAGTTGTCGATTTCGATCTTCCCCAAATTTCCTCAAACCCTAGATTGAAGTTAAAAGTTAATCGGTATTTCCAGTGTATTCGGTTTTTTCAAGTTAAAGTGAGATAATTGACACGTCTGAAAAAATAACGCCACATCGATTAGAAAAGCCCGAAATTGGGCCCTGATCATAAATTTGCAAACAATAATGGAAGTGGTACATATTTTTGCCAAGTTTAAAAGTGGTGCATAAAATTGCAATTTTTGAAAAAGTCATGCATTTATAAGCAATTAGGCCTTAATTATATTGATAATATTGAAGATAGTGAAGTTGGGTTAAAATTGACTTGGATTTTGAGTATAGATCGAGTATGAATTGAGTTTTATTTTATATACAAACACGCCCTAAGTTTGTATTGCCATGTTTGTTTGTAGTGTATGCTGATCCATGTGTGTTTGAATGTAGTTGCTTCTGCTGAAGCCAAAGAGATATGGCGTTGAGCACAAAGAGAACTTTTCAGGCGAGGGAGATGAATATATTTATCACTCGAAAGGTCATACCCTTAACCCTGGTCAACGAGACTGGACCAGGTACCAACCCTGGCAACCCAAGAAGGCATAGTTCAAAATTGTCGCTCGTATAATGGAGTGGAAATATTGCATGGATATGCTTGCTGGCCCTTATTTTTTTTTTTCTTTTTATCAATAAAGTTTGTACTCTTATCAAAGCATAAGATTGGCTTATCGTGGAAATCAAAGATTGTATGTTTTTTGTTTCTTTTTTAATGTTTTGTAAGCCAGAATGTATTTTGAATGAAGATTTTTCTTGAGCAAGTCACACTTTTCTTGCGTACTTTGTATTGCATTGTGATGTGTTGCTGAATGTCATGAGGTTTGTTTAAAATTGAATTAACTATACTTTTATTTTCTTTTATGATTGTAATAATATCACACTAGAAAGGTTTGTTTAAAATTGAATTAACTATACTTTTATTTTCTTTTATGATTGTAATAATATCACACTAGAAATCACTTGGAACACGGAAACTGCTGCCGATTAGCCTAGAGCTTAAATGGTTTTGATAAGCCTATTTCCCCATACATACTTTTTTAACATATACTTTTTTAACACCTCTGTAAATAATGGCTCTGGGAGTAGATGCATAGCCTAAATTAGGGTAAACAGTTCACAAAAATGTATGAATAATGAATATTGTAATATCGGATACAAGTTACTGAGTGTAAGTAAATGAGAAAAGAAAAGAGACATCTACTTCCTATACAATCCAGAACTTTGAAGCGTTTTACAATAGTCGGCAATAACCGGAGAATGTTTGATGAGTTCCCATATCTTGGCAGAATTCTTCAACCAGTCGCGTTCGGAAACAGTTCTTGAGAAAGAAGGGGTGTTCATAGAAAGAACCTGCAAAGAGATTCACTATCTGAGTTGTGTGGACTCTGGTTTGCAAATTGCAATTACAAAATCTAAAAGGAAAACAAAGCCTTCATTTAAGTTATGCTAAAATTCATCGATATTTATAAAGCCTGCCCTGGACCAAATCACAGATTTAGGCACCTCCTCAAATGTCGATTTTTTCAGAAAAAAATGAAATAAAATATCCAAGGGTATTCTTAAGTATTTTTATTTTAATTTTTTTTATTTTTTTATTTTTTTTTTATTATTTTTTTTTTCCAGAGAGGGGAAAAACCTGATCCCTTAGCTTCCAGAGAACAGAGAAATAGCTCTCATACATTGCCCTCGAGTCGCCATCTTTGCCCTTGAATGGAACAAGAAACAGTTTCAAGTCTATATCCGAATCCTTGTCCTTTAATGCATTTTGGCCTTTTGATCTCACAAATGAAGAAGTGCTAAAACACCGTGCAAGTGCCTTCTTCATTTTCTGAAAATTGCTCGGTGTATTGTCGCAGTCACGAACACTACAATATAATAACAAAAAATATAACTATAAAAGCAATAGCATGTTAAGCCAGATATCCGAAAAGAAACGCCTTTGTACACTTGTAGAACGTCACCTCATATGAACAAAAATGGGCGTAGCAATATATTCATCTCCAATATCGAGAGGTTTGTTGGTGATATTTTCTCTGTCGGAATTAATAGTTGATATTTGTAAATGAGAGAGTGTTGCAGAGGATGGATCAGGTATAGCGTGTTTTAATAAATCGACCTGCTCAAGAAAGAAAAAAAAAAATGCAATCATTTCACACAAAAATTAAGTAGCGCCCAAAAGTAATTTCATCCGTCTCACTTATAAGTTAAAAACACAAGTAGCAAAATATTTACATTTGGAGATCCATTGCATGACTCAATTCATCTTTTTACCAAAAACAGTCATAAAATGAAAATTTCCTTGAAAGAAAGACTACCGTTAACATCAACTGCCACATGGAAGCATCGTGAACTCCCTCTGAAACCACGATAATTATGTGGCAAATGGATGCAAGCAAGACACCAAGCTAGAAAATCCCTTGCAGCAGAAATAAGAGATACCTATGCGAGTTAGCTCTATCATGATTTTGTAAGAAACCTAACCCTGAATGAGTCATATAATTTCTTACAAGTATAATGTGAAGTAAACTTCCATTTTGACAACTTGTAAAGGAATTACCTGGATACTCATCATCTCATGAGCTAGCTCTGCAGACAAGGGTTCACCACTTATAACGGATACAGTAGATGACCCGTCGGGCCTAACCATCTCGGCTAAAACTGAAGGACTAAACACAGGCTGCACATAATAAAAAACCTCAAGGTTATTTCTGCAATTAGCCAAATAAGTTAAAGAACTTAACTTAACTCACTGAAAAACATAAACCATACAAATCCGGCACCTGAGTATCAAGAAGTACGATCCTCTCGGATGAAACCCGGGGCTCAATTCCTACAGTTAAATGCCGAGCCATTGCTCTTGTTTCATCTGATTGTACACCAAAAGGAGGCAACGTGCCTAACAAAATATCCAAATTTCAGTCTTCAACAGTTCATAATTCCTTGCAGAAACACACGGCTCAATCTTTCTGTCGGCCAATGCAAATAACTAACTTTTTTCACCCAATTCAAACACATACATACCAGGTGAAGAAGAATCGAAACCATAGATTTCGTTCAAAACCGTCGACTTTCCAATCCCTGGTGGACCAATTACTCCCACCACGATGAAATCAGTGTTATCAGTTAAAAACTGCACAGTTATTAGTTATTACAGAAACCCACTTAAGATGAGAAAAAAATGGCTGCTGGCTAAAAAATCATAATAACTCAACGACAACAATCTGACAACTACTGGGCAAGAATAAAACCGGCAAAAATCGATCGGGTTGGAAATCCCACGAGTCCGAAAGGAGATTGAGAGACCCAAGAGGTGGAAGCCGCGAACGTATCGTTGCCGGGTCCTCCTCGGCTGCGCCGCTGCCGCCGCCGCCGCGGTTGAATTTGCCGGAGGTGACGAGCCCCGGCTTAGCGAGCAATATTTTGGGCGCTATGCTAGGGTTCGATGACGAGTTGCCACCGCTGCCGGCCATTATCAGTACTATAGGATGGCCGAGGTCAAACAATTTATACAGAACCTGTGCAAATTCAAACATCACGAATTAAGATAACTGAAAAAAATGAACTTTATGCCATATAGGCATATGATAAGCAATTATATACGCAAATTTTTCCAAGCTTTTTCTTACAGATGGAGCAAAGGAGTTGCGAGCCTTTGCTGGAAATTTTCGATCGACCGAGGAAGGATGGTATGAAGATTGCGAATTTGTTTCAAAATCTGACGAATTGGGCCAGATACTACCGACGAAGCTGGAAGAATAATAAGGCCTTTTATTAGACCAACAGCAGATTAAAGCCCAATTAGGGCAATTACAGTACAAAGGCCCACATATTACCAGCACATATCCCTCAAATGCCCAAAATGGCCAACTCTAATTATTTCTAGTTGAAAATGTAGCAAAATCTTACCATCACAAAATATCCCTCTTTGACACATAAAAATCCGCCATTTTTCAGCTCGGCTTTTGTTTCTGTAACAGAGCTCCATGAACTGCTAATGGAGTCACTAAAATCCTCCTTCCTCCCGTCATTCCCAGCAAACACACCTCCAAAACCCGGCAAGCTTAACAAACCGCCGCCGCCGAAAGTCCTCTGCTGCCTCAAACCCGACCCGTGGTCCCCACACTCCGGCAAGAACCTCGACAAGCCGAAACCCAGACACAAAAACCCTAAGAACCCGCTGTCCGACGACAACGCCCGCAGCATAATCAAGGCCAAAGCCCAGTACTTGAGCGCCCTGAGGCGGAACCAGGGCTCGCGCGTGCAGACACCCAAGTGGATCAAGCGCACGCCGGAGCAGATGGTGCAGTACCTGGAGGACGATAGGAACGGGCACCTGTACGGACGGCACGTGGTGGCGGCGATTAAGCGCGTGAGGAGTACCTCCGAGCTGCGTGAGGGGGAGTACGACATGAGGGAGGTGATGAGTTCGTTTGTTGCGAAGCTTACTTTCAAAGAGATGTGTGTGGTGTTGAAGGAGCAGAAGAGTTGGCGCCAAGTTAGGGACTTTTTTGCCTGGATGAAATTGCAGGTTGCTTTCTGTTTTATTCTTATTTTTTTAATTTGCTGGGACTTAATTTGAGTGTTATATTTCAATTCTTAAAGGATATGATGTTGCTTTAGGCTCTGACAGAAGCTTGTTTTTGTTATTGAATCATGAATCTATCGATATACTTGTATTGTGAAGCCAAATGAGGCGGAAAAAGGAGGAAAAATAAACAATAAACGAGGCGGAAAAAGGAGGAAAAATAAACAATAGAAAAAGAACAAGCACATTTTTAGCTTAGACTTAAGGCAGGGAAATAGTTTCTCACTTGTTTGTTTGATGGCGATGTCGTTTGTGGCCACTCTCTGCACGTGTTTCGATTCATTGAAAAGCTTGGTAGAATGTGATTCCCAATTGATTAGTTTATTCTTCTAACTTTTGATGGCTCATCAATTTCCTATGTAGGATCTTGGTTGATCTTAAGTGAAAAATGACAAGTGACTGTTGAATTGCAAACAATTTTTTTTTTCAGTCTTGCGACTCTGTGAATTTCCAACAACAGAAAAAACGTGGCACATTTGGATGGATTTTTTTTCCTTTTTTGCATTTTCCATGGCACTCAGCAAATTTTGTGTGTCATTCTAATTTCCAAGTTCTCTCAGGGTATGATTTTCTTCATTTGCAGAATCTTGTCCATAGTCTGTATATATTAATTTGGTGTAATATAGATTTATGCCGTAACAGTTGAGCTATCGACCAAGTGTTATAGCCTACACAATCGTTCTGCGTGCATACGGTCAAATTGGAAAAATCAAGCTTGCCGAGGAAACTTTCTTGGAGATGCTTGAAGCTGGGTGTGAACCTGATGAGATAGCTTGTGGGACCATGTTGTGTTCGTATGCCAGGTGGGGCCGCCACAAGGCTATGCTCTCGTTTTATTCTGCCTTACAAGACCGAGGGATACTGCTTGATGTTCATGTTTTCAATTTTATGCTATCTTCTTTGCAAAAAAATTCACTTCATAGAGATGTTCTACATGTCTGGCAAAAGATGATTGAACAAGGAGTGAGCCCAAACCATTTTACATATACAGTTGTAATTAGCTCGCTTGTGAAGGCAGGCATGATTGAGGAAGCATTGGTGATGTTTCACGAGATGAAGAATTTGGGTCTCGTGCCGCAAGAAGCAACTTATAGCCTTCTGATCCGTTTGAACTGCAAAAATGGTGAAAAAGACAGAGCTCTTCATCTCTATAAAGATATGAAGTCCCACGATATAGTTCCCAGCCATTTTACGTGTGCTTCACTCCTGGCCTTGTTTTATAGAACTGCAGATTATGTCAGTGCTTGTTCGCTTTTCACTGAAATGGAGAAGTATGGTGTTATTGCGGATGAGACCATTTACGGCTTAATGATTCGTATATATGGTAAACTGGGTCTGTATGAGGATGCCGTGAAGACATTTTCGGAAATCGAGAGATCAGGTCAACTTAGTGATGAGAAGACATATGCAACAATGGCGCAAGTCCATATCGATTTCGGGAATTTGGGCAAGGCCTCAGATCTTATGGATCGAATGAAAATTAAAAATATTTCCTTCTCGAGATTTTCCTGCATCGTACAACTGGAATGCTGTATATTAAAGGGGGACCTTGCATCTGCAGAAAATGCATTTCAGGCTATATCTAAAACTGGGCCACCTGATGCCACTTCTTGTAAAGATATGCTAAATTTGTATGCGAGGCTTGGGTTGTTCGGAAAGGCAATAGCTTTTGTAGAACAATTGAGGAAAGATCAAATTGACTTTAACGAGGAGCTTTTCGTGACAGTATTGAAAGTTTATTGCAAAGGAGGCATGCTAAGAGAAGTGGAACAACTGATAGAACTGTATAGTGTGAGAGAAACGTTTAAAAATATTCCGTTTGTTCGAACATTTTTTATGGTTATGTACGGACAATGCAACGGATCAAACGATCATGAAAATTTATTTGAGCCCTCTGGCCAATCAGGAACTCTGGCAGTTGAGCTCATGCTCATGCTTTGTTTGGCAGCACGAAATGAGACGAAAATGAAAGGGAAAGTTGAGCTTTTGCTCGACACCAAAATTGGCGAGTCAGTAGGCAACATAATGATTAGCAAATTTGCCCAAGAGAGTAAGATTTTTCTCTCCGTTACATATTGATGTGGTTTGACTGAGTAGTCAACTTCGTATCTCAAGATTATTCTTTTCTTGGGATACCAAATTCTTGCTATTGGATGTTATCTAAGAGTTGGTATTGGTACCTTTTTTCAGGTGACATGTTGAATATGGAAATTCTTTACGAATTAATGATAAGAAGTGGTTGCAAAATAGAAGATGCTGCTAGGGCATCAATAATTAGTCTGTATGGGAAACAAAAGAAGCTGAAACAAGCTGAGAAAGTCTTCTTTGATGGGTCTGGCTCAGCTACAGATCTGAAGGTTATATATAGTTCGATGATTGATGCATATGTAACGTGTGGCAGAGTACAGAATGCATATTTGTTTTTCAAAGAACAGACTACGCAAGGGCACAGTCTGGGTGCTGTTGCAATCAGCAAACTTGTGAAAGCGTTGACAAGCTGTGGTGAGAGAAGTTAAATTTCCTTTTAGAAAAAAGAAAAATAAAAATGAATTGTTCATTAACTTCTGTTGAAACAAAGAATTGATCATTAATTTTCATCATTCTCCACTATCGATTAATTTATATATTTCTGAATTTGCCTGAGTGATTTAAAGACCTATCCAAATTTTACATTTTCAAGTCTACAAGTGGCTTCAGATTTGTATAACTTAATACTACCCCCTATACGAAAATTTATTCGCGCTCATTTGCAGATAAACATCACGAGGCGGAGGAAGTTATTAACAACTGTTTAAATTGGAATTTGGAGCTCGACACTGTGGCCTACAACACTTTCATAAAGGCAAAGTTAGAAGCAGGTTTATATTTTTGCCTTTTTTCTAATTTTCAGAAATTATTTTCCAAGCATCTTGGGGAAGTATGTAATGAATTAACGTTTTGGTGGCCCACCAGGCAAACTTCGTTCTGCTATCAGCATATACGAGCGCATGCTTACCTTGAAAATCTCTCCATCAATTCACACATATACTATCATGATCAGGTCAGGCAATACTTTAGATTCTTATCATAATTGAAAATTTACAACTATATGTGAATATAGAGAGTTCTTGTGCATCGGTTTGATTGGGAGTTCGAGACTCGTGATTTTTGCAGTGTGTATGGAAAGTGTACAAATTTGGACAAAGTGGTGGAGATGTTTGACTTGGCGCAAAGCATGGGTTTGGCTTTGGATGAGAAAACATATACTAATATGATATTACACTATGGAAAAGCTGGTATGGCGTTCTCTTACTTTAGTTGGGAGTTGCATTTTAATTTACTCAAAAGAAGAACTAGCTAAAGAATAATGGTCAATCTGTTTCAAAGAAACTTATTCTCACTTGAAGCCAAATTAAAAGCCAAAAAAACTGTAATTATCATATCAACGATGTTCTCAAATGTTATACTCGATAATCAATATGCACTGTTAGTTTTTCTTTTTTCTATGCTTGAAAGTATTTATTTATTTATTTGAACTTTGCAGGAAAAGTTAATGAAGCAGCCGCTCTGTTCAATAAAATGCTGGAGGATGGGATAAAACCTGGGCAGGTACATTAAAATCTGTCTGAGACGTTCTTTATTCTAATACAGGCCACAAAGGCCACGAGTCACCTTTATTTCAAGGAAAAACCTAAAATACGAGAGCTCGTAATTGCATAACTGAAGTTCGCGATTACCATATGTGCCGAGCTCATTTTTTATATCGTAGTACTACTATATGCATACACAAAAGTGAAAAAGAATAAGAAAAGAAGAAGATAATGCTGAGTAGTTGCTCAAACGTCTCGTGTGCATAACAACATAATAGTCAATTTATACATCTTGCCGACCACTGCTATTAAGGGTGTGTTTGTATATAAATAACTCGATTCATACGCAAAATCTAACTCAACTCTAACCCAACTCCATTATCCTCAATATTATCAATATAATTAAATATATCAATCATATTCTTACACATCACTTCAACTTTAATTCACTACTCATTCACTCACATAATTTTAACTAACAATCACTTCACATTATCTCTTTCATACTTTACATCAAATGAACTTTAGTTATTTTGTTCTTTGTATTATTTTAATATAAACTCAATAATCTCACTAACAACTAATCATACCAACTTTTTATCAAAATTAATCATGGTTAACCAAAAAAAACTCGTTTTGGACGATTATATTTGTATCCAAATACGCCCTAAATACTCGACATTGGTGTCACAATGTGCAGATGAGCTACAACATCATGATTAATGTATATGCTGCTGATGGACTATACAAGGAAGCAGAAAAGCTACTGCTAAGCATGCAAAAGAACAATTGCAGGCCCGATTCTCAAACCTACCTTTCCTTAATTCGAGCCTATACTAATGGATTCAAATATTCCGAAGCAGAAAAGGCCATTGATGCCATGCAGAGGGAAGGAATTTCTGTGTGTTGTGGTCATTTCAATCTCTTGATCTTGGCCTATGCTAAATCGGGATCTATAGGCGAATCTGAGAGGATATACCGGAAAATTATTTCTACCGGATTGAATCCTGACCTCAAATCCAAATCGATGATGCTTAGAAGTTATGTCGATTATGGGCTCGTTGAACAAGGAATACGCTTCTTTGAAAGTGAATGTCGTCTTATGAGGCCGAATCGGTTTCTCTTGAGTGCTGCAGTTCACCTTTACCGGGCGGCTGGCAAGGAGTTGCAGGCGGATGAAATACTAAATGCTATGAATGATTTGGGTGCTACTTTCTTCAGCAAACTTAGGATTGGAATCAGGACATAAAATGATCGGTTCCTCCTTTTTTTTTTTTTTTCTTTCCATTTTTGGTTTATTCTATCTTAAGTTTTTCACTTCTACATCTCTGTTTTTAGTGGAAACATTTTTTTTTTTTTCAAATTATATCCAATAGCAAAAGTTTTCATGATGTCAAACGCAATCTTAAAATAATAGTAAATTGATGCCTTTAATTATTATTGTTTGAAAGTTGTGATTAAAATGGAAAAGCTAAAAAGATGGTATTTCTAATGCAATTTTGCATTTTAAAATGTAAATAATAATATAACTTCTTAAGAATTATTTGAAATTAAATTAAAACTTTCTCTTTTTGAAAATATTAAATAAATCAAGTATTTACTCTATCAGTATTTACTAATCAAGTACCTATATATCATTTTTATTTTTTATTTACCAAAAGTATCCGAGATAAAATGTAGCTTCAAAGGTCGCTTCCATGATTTCTTTCTTTAGCGTGGAAAATTCTGTGACCTTTTTTTGGTTTGTTGCCGTGATTTTGCTTGTTGAGAATCTAGAAAGAAAGTGACAATTGAAGGTTCTCTTTCTTTAGTTATTTGGTTTATTATTATTATTATTTTTTTTTCATTTTTTATTCTTTTCAATTTTGTTAAGACTTTATCTAGTAATGGAAGGCCGCGCAGACAGGTATAAGAAGTTATTACGGGAAATGCTACTGTAACCAACCATTTCGTCGGAGTTTGTAATCGTTAAATCATAATATATAATTTATCTAACAATTACAAACTCCGACGGAATAATTCCATAATGGGACCACAACATTTCCCTTAGTTAACATAAGAACTCCTTTATTTGATTAAAAAAAAAAATAATGAATAAAGCCCCTCCAAAAAAAATTCTGAGCCTAATCATAATCCCGCAAAAGTACAATAAAATCCTCAACAAATACCACCCAGAAAAAGAAAAAAATAAATAAATAAAGAAAATAATCTTCAATTACTTCCCCCATCACCACTACTAGCAAGCTTCTTCCGCTGCTGATGCTCAGCAACCTTATAATCCACCACCTCCCGGAACAGGTTAGCATCCAGCACACAATCTTCGCTACCGTACACAGCCGCCTGCACGCTTGCCATAAGCTTTGCAATCTCCCTTCCCGAAAACCCCTCCGTCTTATCAGCCGCCTCCTTGATTACATCATCGCTTAGACCCTTGACCTCGATTTCCTTCTGCTGCTTATCGAAGAATTTTGAGAAGAGGCCCGATTGCCTATTCCCGGCCCGCGCAATGTACTTGTCAAGGTAGAGCTTGAGGAGCTTGAACCGCTCGTCAAGCCCCGGGAGAGGGAACTCGAGGACCTCGTCTATACGGTCAGCCACAGCTGAGTCGAGGTCTGACGGGCGGTTGGTGGCAAGGGCAAGGACTATGTCCTTTGACTGGTCGCCCGTCCGGAATAAAAGTGCGTTGAGTGCACTTCGTTGGGCTTCACTCATGTACGTTTTGTTCCGCCTGAAAAATTTTAGATTTTTAAGAAAACCACCAAACAGAAGATGGATTTTTTTAGTAAGTTTGGTTAACTAGGATTAATTTTGAGAAGTTGGTTAGGTTCGAGTAGAATTTTGAGTTTGTATGAAAATACTGCTTAAAATAAAATAATTAAAATTGATTTGATATAAAAATTGTAGAGAGATGATGTGAAGTGATAGTTAAAATTATGTGTGTGGATGAATATTGAATTAAAGTTTATGGGGTAAAATACTTTTTCCCATCCGAACTATCACGGTTTGGCGCATCACCACATAAACTATTTTTTTTTAACAAACCACCATATAAACTATACGGGTTTGTCAATGTGCCCCCTAAACCGGATATAAAAGTGGTTTAGGGGCACATTGACAAACCCGTGATAGTTCATATGGTGGTTTGTAAAAGTATTTAGGGGGCACATATGGTGACCAAACAGCTTTTTCAGTCAAAACCACTTTTATATTCGTTTTAGGGGGCACACTGACAAACATGTATAGTTCATATGGTGGTTTGTAAAAAAAAAGTTTATATGGTGATGCGCCAAAATCGTGATAGTTCGAATGGGAAAAAGTATTTTACCCAAGTTTATGTAATGTATAAGAATGATTGAAACGTATTATTTAATTATATTGATAATATTGAAGATAGTGGAGTTGAGTTAAATGAAATGATTGGATTTTTTAGAATAAAGTTGTATTTTAAAATGATTGGTTAAAATGATTGGATTTTTTAGCGAAAAAATGTATTTTAAAATGATTTGTTAAAATGATTGGATTTTTTAGAAAAAAATTGTATCCAAGCTGAACGTAAGAACTGAACTTACTCGCACAAGAATGCATCTGCCTCATCGATGAAAAGCAGCAAACCCCTATTGGATTTCTTCGCCCAATCAAATAATTGATGTATCTTCGTGACAGCCTGAGAGCCCAAAGGGGCAACGTCTCCTCCAGTCATCAATGCATAGTCAAGGCCCTATAAGGAAGTAGCCAGATAATAGTAATTAAGCTCCTACAAGAGTAGGATAACTAATACGTTATCTTTCTAAACCCCTTCAAAAGTTTAGTAAATAATGGCCAAATGTTTACATTCTCCTAACTTTGCGAGATATAATGAATAGTAACAATATGCCGGATCCCCCAAATCCTTTCCAATCACCAATTATGAGTCATTAATGCATTTAGTCGGAAGGGTATCGGTGAGAAGGGTAGAAACATTAGAATTAAGAACGCAAATTAAAAAAGGGAGGGGTACAACAAAGAAAACTTGGAATGAGACAATAAAAAATGATTTAAAATATTTAAATTTGAATGAGGATTTGTGCTTTGATCGAGCCGACATGTGATCCATATAGCCGAACCCACTCAGTAGGATTTTAACGGCTTGTTGATTGATTGACTGAAAGCATTTAGTCGGAAATTTGAAAAGCCAACAGAACTAATCCGGTAAGAGATTAAGTCGAGTTATCTTACAGATTTACGGGCAAGTTCTCTAGCAGCCATTGTTTTCCCTGTTCCTGGTGGCCCGTAAAAGAGCATATTTCTAAACGGTGCCTGGTGTGCTTTCGTATTAGCTGTTGCACTGGCCAACTGTTGAATCCGTTTCTGAAGAGAAGGATGCAAAATAACATCACCAAACCCGTTCCCACTTTGGGAGCTCAATCTCCTGCTAGCACCTGTAACATTGCTCATTGCACGTGAAAATAGGCCAGACCATGGATATTTCCCTCGGGAGGACTCTCTTATCAGAGATGGTTGTCCCAGTATTCGGTCCACATAGCTCCAAATTACTCTAGCTCCTTCTCTATTTTGCATCCATAAAAAAGGAATGAACCGTAAATTGCTATAAGTAGTACTGCAGTAGTGTAGTACTTAATACATTATTAGTTATAACCTTCAAATTATGAGGATACAGTAGAGCTGTCACCGCCAATCAAAATGTTAAAAGGAATCATGCCAAATAGATGGAAAGCTACTATCCTATTGTGCAGAATTTTCCAATAGCATTCTCATAATAGCCAAAAAATAAATGAGCAGCAGCATATTAAAAGTGCACTACCGTGTAGTATAGACCCCTGCTGCAAGAGCTGTTATGCCTCCTACAGTTACAATCAGTTTATTCTTATCTGTCAAAATCGCTCTCAAACCCCCTGCACGAGATGGAACAGTCGGTGGGAAAGCCAAGATACTAAATGAGGAGATAGGCATGAGTTAAAGGATTAGGGGACTACGAACAAGTTAATTGATATGGAATATTACAGACAACAATTTTGCAAGAGTAAACAAAATATATCTGAGACCTCCAATGTGATCAAAAGTTGTGTTGATGGCGGCAACCCATTTCTCTCTTTCAGCATTAGCACGCTCGACCAACATTCGTTTATTAACTTCCTCCGCAAGTGAGGCTTCGTGGGCCCGTCCCTCTGCCTCGGCCATAGCCCGCACCTTGATAGTTTCGCGTTCAATCTCAGCCTTCTCCCTCTCTGTTTGGCGACGTTGAGCTTGAATCTGATTTTCTGTTGCCTGTCTGGCAGCCTCCTGCCTCATTGCCGATTCCTCTTGCATTTTAACGAGTTCTTGATTTCTTGCTCTGTGGTGCTCATTCTCCGCCTACCAAAATCAAGATTTAGGTATAAACAGTAAACATCCAGTTGGACCTCATATGCACAAAAAGGATCACCCACCTGCATCCTTTTCCTTGCCAACTCATCTTCATAGCGGGCCATCTGTGATTTTACTTGTGCCTGTTGCTGGGCTAGTTTTTTTTGTTCGTCATACACCACCCTTTGTTTTTCCTGAAAATATAAACCGGCAAGTTTTCAGTATTACTGCAAAGTGGGACAAGCATACTGTTTTTACATGCACATCACCTTCAAGGGGATTACTCGAAAATCAATTTAAGAGAGCTGTTTTAGCTTTAAGTTGTTTCTTCTAATGTTCAATTTTAGATTGAGCTTGAGGTTCCCATGGCGATCTCGTATCCCCACATTTAAGTAACCAAACAGCAACCATTAAGGATCTGAAAACACACTATATTGAACACTAAAATCGGTTGAACATATGTTTACTCTGTAGATTAAGAAATTATGACTCCTATCAGGTTGATAATACACAGAATAAAGCCCCAATCAAGACCCAAAACACAGAAGAAAAGGAAAATTGGCAACTAACCACAGCTAGAGTGTGGAGATAAATACACTTGCTAAAAACTGGTTCCATGACTAAAAAATAATTTCATTGACACTAATTTCTGATGTAAACAAGGTTACTTACCCTGTCTTAATCTTTAAACCAAGCAAAAGCTCAGGACAAAAATGGTTTGGAAAAAGCGAAGCTTACAGTTTCAGCTTGAGCTTGCAGTGCCTTGAACTCTGCCGATTTTGATTCTAGCTCTTGCAGCCTGGTCTCTTCTTGCTTTTTCATCAGTTCAAATACCTAAACCAAGAAAATTGCTCCTCCATCAAATACCCAGCAGCTTCTACATATCAATAAAATTCGACACCTCCCTCCAATTAGCTACTAGATTGTCCGAAAACTAAGGGTGAAATCAGACCCTACTATAATCCAGCCAAATGGATACAAACAACTAAAGTAAAATTCTTAATTCACAATAATTTACATCCTAAAAAAATCAAAATTCGTAAGAAAACAACCTTTTTAGCATGTGAAGAGCCACTGATCTCTCTCAACGCCTTGGCACCTCTCTCCAATGCCTCAGGGTCGAACCCAGCAGAAGTCGTCCGAGGGGTGTCGTTTCGAGCACGGGACTCCGCCGGCTGAGTTGACGGCGGCTTGGCCGGAGGTTCCGGCGCCGCCTGGGGAGCCACCGAAGCTGAATTCGAGAAAGGGGAAAAATTAAGCGGCCCGTCTGCATAAGCTCGGTCTACACCGGCAGCTGCGCAAGCTGCGGCTGCTAATATCCCTGATGCGAACATTTTAGCCATCTGAATTCGCTTGTGCAAATGGAGCTATAGAAAATGATGGAAGGTGATTTGCTTATGATCTAAAACGTTTGGAGTTCAACGTCATCGACATTTTAGAACAGTGGCTTGAAGGACAAGAAAGGAGAGTTTGGTGAAGGCGCCATTAGAGGATTTTCAGGGTTTATGTAGGGTTTGTGATGTGGGAGAATGAGTAGCGGTTCTCGGTGTTGGTTTTATACTTTTATATATACCGGTCCTGAAAATTACAGATTGGTCGGGTCCTACTCCTAAACATGACCACGGGCTGCCCAGCTTCCCGATACAGCCCGGACCATGCACGGTCAGACCCATGGTCAGCCGGGTTGGGCCTGGCCCGAATTTTAATTCAGGGTCGGTCATTTTGAAGATATTCGTCGGGTCGAATTGGGCCGGCCTAGAAATTAACAACTTTCAATACTTTTTATGATGGGTCGGGCCCGGACTGGCGTGCCAGGTCGTGTACCCAGTTCGTATCTGTTGTAGAATTAAAAAAGAACTCGGCTCGTTAAAGCCTCAAGTTCCAGCCGAGCCAAATAAAGACTCGTGTAATTTATTAACATCACTAGTCTAAATCCATTTTCTCAATATCTAAACACCAGTAAAATTCATTACACTCCATTGCTTGCACTAAAAACGAGCTCATCCATAGAAAACAAAATTCTCCACGCTTGTAACAAATCAAAGAATGTGTATCATTGTGTTTATATCACCACCCAACATGTTAGCCATGACCAGAAAACCTTAGACTGCAACTGTGCTTCTAACTTCCCAACAAACCACCAAAAATAGAACTAAAAATATCTCAAAAAAAAAAAAAAAAGAAACACCATGCTAACAGAGAAAGATAGATAGCTTCATCCCGATCACGGAAACTGAAACGAGCCCCCGATCTGGTTCGCCCCCTCTGGCGGATTAATCGCCACCCATAAAAGCGAGATAATAATGGCAATAAGCCCCGACCAAACAAACACAATAGTCGGTGTTCTTCCCCTTCTCCCCATCAGCCCCTTCGCAAACGGGTACAAATGTGCCAAAACCCAAAAGCTAAAGAAAACGCCTCCCAATAAACGGCTCCACTGTGGTATCACGCTGTATATAGTTCGGCTGAGCCCGACAGCAATCGCTATCATGTTCACCATTATAATCACAATCGGCGGTATCATAAGAGAAGTCCACTTCACCACATACAGGTCAGCAAACTCGTCGTCTTCATCTTCGCCTCCCGATTTCGAAGTCAGCGTGAAGGAGATTTCGACACCTGCCACGATCTTGAGCAGGCCTTGAAAAACCGCGGCTAAATGTGCGCTCGTGCCACCGATGAGCCAGAACTGCTCGTTTCTCCACCACTCCTCGAGCTCGATTCCTGACCACTTGACCTCGAGGACAGCCAGCGCGCACAGAGTGACGGTTATTGTCAGGAGGTAGACCAAGAAAGTGACGTTCAGTGTCTGAACGATGAACTGTCCGGAAAATAAGGACAGGGCCGGAAGGAAACAGTAGACGATTAGGAAAACCGAGGTGAAGGGGTAAATCCCGACGTTGAGGTATGCGACACGCTGGAGGACCTTCATGCGCGAGCTGGCAAGGAACGCGTTGTTTCGGGAGAAGAAGATCTCGACCGAGCCCGTGGCCCAACGGAGCACCTGGTGGTGGTAAGGGTGCACAAAATTCCGAGCCGATTAATTATTGAGAAGATTAGATTAAAAAAAATGGTTCGGTTAAGATTTCGAAATTTATTGAGAAGATTAATTATTTATTATGATTGACTGATAACCAAACTGAACTGACCGCTGGATTTCAGGTTAAAACCCGAACCGAACCATAAATTACAGTTCGGTTTTCGTTTCTTATAATAGATAAACCGAAATTTTGGTCAGTTCGGTTCGGTTTCGACCAAATGAGCATCCCACCTGGTGGAGCCGGTCGGTTAGGTTGATGGGCGCGGTTCCTCGAAAAGCGTCCCGTTTGGTGACACAGTAAACCGACCTCCAACCCCTGTTGTGCATTCTGTAACCCGTGACAACATCTTCAGTAACCGACCCGTAAATCCACCCGACCCGTTGGCCCCACTCGGTTTTATCCTCGTACCAGCACGAAATGACGCTTATAGCCTCGGCCACGGTGGAGGCGTCGAGGGGGTCCCGCGGGACGGTTAGGGCTCCCGGTGGGCGCCCGTTTTTCACCGAAGGATGGTCGGCGAGTGGGCGGCCTTGGAACTCGGCCACGGGGATGGAGTCAATGAGGAGATTCGAGTTGCCAAACATTTTCGGGGCGAGCGAGAGCCCGCCCGAGAACAACTCATCGTCGTCCGAGTCGCCGCCACCTGTCATCCTCAAAGCCTTATTCTCCTCCGGAATACCGGTGGGCCCGGCCCGGGCCTGTCTTCCGCCGAAGCAGCACATGCTGAGGAAGCCCGGGCTGTGTTCTTTGGACCGGGGCGGGTCGAATCCGTAGAGGGCGACCCGGCGGAAGAGGCAGCCCGTGCCGACGTAGACCGGGCCTTGGAGCCCGTCGAGGGCCCGCATGTTGCCGTCGAAGAAGACTGTGTTGCGGTTGGCGTATCGGTCGGAAGGGTCGATTCCTTCGAAACGTTGGGGGAATTGGACGTAGCAAATGCGGTCTCCTCCACGGTCCATCATGAAGCACATACCTTCGCGCATGGCTTGGGAGTTGTAGATGTAGTGGTCACAGTCGAGGTTGAGGATGAAGGGCCCGTTTGACATGATAGCCGAGGCCCGAACGAGGGCATTCATAGCGCCCGCCTTCTTGTTGTGGTCATAGCCCGGGCGCTTCTCTCGGGACACGTACACGAGCATTGGTAGTCGGATGTCGATGCTCGTTAGGTCCATTGCACGGGGCTCCTCAGGCAAGCCACATAGAGGCTCATCGCTTGGCGGCTTCAACATGACCTTTTAGCATTGTCATAAAACACATTTGATTTATGAATATATGATGAATAAGAGTATTTACACACACAAACACACACTCACATTATACCTGAATTATTCCAGCATGGTCACCCTTCGAGTGATCAGCCGAAGGACTCAACCAAGTCCCGGGCCAATGTGTCCCGTCGGCCATCCAAGTCGCCTTATTAATTTTCACTACCTCAACCGGCTCGTCTTCCTTTATCTGCCTCCTCTGTTCCTTCATGGCCCTGAGCTCCTCCCGAGCATGGTACGCATCAGACCGCCGCCTAATAGACTCGGGCAGCCCATTAATCCGAACCTTAAACTCGTCATACTCTCGCTTCACGCGTCTCCTATCCTTCACGAAATCCTTAAGCACCTTATTCTTGTAAGGATCCTTCTTCAAATTAAAGTAGCTCTCGGGATTCCTCGGCTCGATGCTGTGCTTACGGCAAAACGGGACCCACAAGTTCGCGAAGCTGGCGGCTTCGGCCATGGCCTCAAATGTCAAAAGTGCCCCTCCATCATCCGAAACATAGCAAGCTAGCTTCTCGACCGGGTAATCGGCCGCCAGTATGGACAGTATGGTGTTGGCCGTGACAAGTGGCGGCTCCTTGTCCGGATCGGCGGTCGAGACAAAGATGTCTATGCCAGGAAGGTCCGATTTTCCAGTGGGGTTGTTAAGGCTTGGGGTCTCGAATTTTTCCTTGAGCACGTTGAGGTCGGTGGCTCGGTTCACGGGGCAGAGTTTTGGGAGCTGGTCGAGAATCCAAGAGAATGTGAACCAAATTTCGCAGACAACGGACATTCCCCACAGCCAAATGGCGTCGTTGTTTGGGTGCTGGATTCGCCACGTGAGGAAGAGGCCGAGGACGATCATTCGGACCAAGATTAGAAGCCTGCAGGCCACAAGACTTTCGAAATTTGTACTCATGATTCAATATGTCTATGTCCTACAAGGTAGGATAGGAATAAAACTAGCCTGATGTTTGATGAATTTACAATAGCATAAGGAGGTTTACTCAATCACCCATAATATTTTTGGTATTTACAAAAAGGCCCAAAGAATTACAAAAAGGTTCCTCTATAGTGTCCTATATTTATCCCTCTTTACTGTGTTCTAAGGGACAATTACTAAAACTACCCATGATGTCAGATTTTATTCTGTTCCACAAGCAAAAATCAAAATCCAGTTCATGTTTTCAAGAAGGAATCAAAACTATCATAACTACTGCGAACATTCAGGACAGTTTTAACAGCTAAACCCAAACGAAAAAGTCAAACATTTCGATTACGAGCCATCCATTTATCTAGTAATAATCCTTTCTATTCTTAATACTGTACCTGTAAGGGCTGATGATGGCAGCCGGAATCTTCAGCTTCCGAGTGAGCGGCCTCCACGGCTTGCTGATCAAACCGGGCGCCTCAGCATCAACACGACCACCACGATTCTCATCATCGTCCACATCACCCTTCTCCTTTGGCCAGATGGCATTCCCATAACCATACGTCCCTTTAGTCTCGAAAAGCCACCTGTTATGGTCAAAGTCAACCCCTGTCCCACTCCTCATCAGCCCGGACTTAGTCGACCTCATTATCGACAGCCTCCTCTCGACCACCCTCGACGAACCCCCTTGTGGGCCTGGCAGCTGGGGCAACGACCCGGCCCACCCATCCATGACCTCATTCGGGTCGGTCGTCTTGTACTCCTCTTTACACCCAGGGCAAATCCCCTCCCCGGTTTTCAGAACATCCAAATAGCAATCCCGACAGATTTTAAAGTCACACTCGCACGGGAGGATATCGTTTCCCCGCTCGTCGCTCATCACTTTTCCATCACAGCCATTGACCGAGCACGACGAGCCTTTGACCCCGGCCATCTGAGGGTGGAGGGGAGATTCGGAGTCTATGACCCGATCCATGAGGTGGGCCCGGGTTGTGGAGTTGAACCCACCAGTGAAGAGGGAGGATGAGACGTATTGCTCCTCGACCCGTTGGGCCACCGGGTCGATGTTGGGCTGGTTGTCGGGTGTCGGGGGAATGTGGACAGTGTAGTTGAGGTAATCGGAGGAGCTGAGTTCGCTGTCTAGGTCATCTCGTGAGTAGCTGACGTAGCGGCCGGAAGGGGTCCGTCGGGCGAAGGTGACGTGTGGGGGAAGAGGAGGCTTGCCGCCTCCCGGGATGCCCTCGGGGCCCGTGTCGGATGACATGGAGAGGTTGGATGACGTGGCTTTAAATGATTTGGAGGCCATTTCTGGATGTGGGAAGGGCAAGGCAAGGCAACTACACTAGCAACTGTTGAGACTGGATAATTGAAACAAATAAGAGCAAGAATCAGAGAGAATTCGATAAGTATGTATATAAAGATAGCAACTTTTGTTTTTTTTCTTTCCAAAATTCAACATCACAGATTTGATGGGCCAATAATCAGATTAAACGCAATAATGAGATTGGTTTCAATCAATACACATTATAGTTCTGTAGTCAAAGTGAAGCCAGACAATTCATTCAAATCGAAATTATTGCAATAATGGGAATGGTTTCAGTCAATACACATTATAATTCTGTAGTCAAAGTGAAGTCAGACAATTCATACAAAGCGAAATTGAGGGCAAGGCAATTAACTGACACAATCCACATTGCATTACAGCGACGAGGTCTCTGATTTTCACTCTAAATCACCAGATCTTACAAGGATTTTGCAGATATCGAGAACACCAATTTAAGGTTAAGCAAAAAATAACAACAATAAAAGAAAAGGAAACTCACGCAGAACAATTATCAGTTGAAATAAGCGCCTCACACAAGAAATTTAGTAAACATCATCCTCCGGCTATATATTGCGAGAAACTGGAAAAACGGTGGCATATGATAGCACCTCCGGCTAAGTGAGGACAACGTACGGCGGCACAACGATTGCCGTTCGCCGGCTAATGAAGCTTTTCGTCTTTTTGAGGCGAGATTGTAGAACTTGACTGCCTCTTCGTGTGATATATATCTTACGAATTTTATTAATAAACTCCGATGGCTGAATGCGCGTAGATGAGCTTCTCGTGTGTATGTGTTTGTGCGTGTTTCAGACAGACGGATATTCGCTGGACACTGTTTTTAGTTTTACCCTTTTCTTTTTTCTTTTTCTTTTTTTTTTTCACCGCGAAGAGATTTTCAGGACAGTATATTTTTGTCACGTCATATTTTTCTGGCTATTAAATAAAGTTTTTACATGGTTGGATTTGTTATGAAAATTAATAATTATGTAATTAGGTAATCATAAGGACATATTAGGTGTATTTCCAAAACATTATGATGTTTAGGATTTTCTTTTATATTCCCTAATATTTTTCCATAATATTTCATTACACCACGTTAGCACACGCTGCAACTTCATGTGGGTCATATATGGGAATTATTATTATATTTGTTTATTTAATTGATTTATTTTATTTTATTTTTCCTTTGCAATATACATATACTATAGCACTATTGAATTCGTAAACATGGCAGACTGGATCTGCTTCCACGAACTCGCATCACATGCCAATTCAGATCAGACACATAAATTTTGTTTAGAAAAACAAGACCCTACACAAATAGGTATCCAACTCTTCATATGAATGGATAAACTATGTCCACAGCCACATAACAAACATACATTTCTCTTTTGATAGTTTTGTCTACACTAAGCCCAAATGGGAAGAAAACTGTCGATCCGGTCGAACGTGTAAAAATAGACGAAGGCACAAAAAGAGTGCTGAATAAAAAGAAAGGAGAGAGGGTAGAAAGAAGTAAAGTTTCTAAGCTGTTGCGGAATTAGAGGCTAGAAAACTAAAATCCTTGAATAGTACTTGTATTGGGACGACTGCACTCACAAGTACAGATGCTTCTGGAATCTTCCACAACCCGCTGAGATCTTCTTATGTGGAGCTTTACGTTCACCAACTTACCAGCCATCTGTTACACAATGCTAAGAAATAAGAAGTGTAGCAAACACGCTGTAAACTTGTTACATATGATATGCAGATTCTCAAGACTCGTGCTCCTGTTATTTGCAAAACAAAAGCATAAAAAGGCATACTCAAACTCGTAGATACATGTCATTTTTCATTTTCTCTTTTGGTGAGAACAAACAAGAGCAGTATATATATATTGTTATTAGTGTTTTTGAGAAGTTCAGGAACAAGTATTTTTCATTGGTAAATCATGTTGTTCGATTATTCAATAACCGAAAGACATCTGAATTGGTAGAGGCAAATAGATACTCAACTATTTTAAAATGTAAGGCATCTGAATTTTATCATCATCCCACGCATGAAAACAACTAGCCAATAATAGATATGTCAAATAAAAGTTGGAGTGACAAACCATTCTCCAAACTAAGTCTTCTGGACCCAAAGGCAGCGCTGGATGAGAATACAAGAAATGCCTCGAGTACTGAAATAAGTTAAGTGGACATAATTAAGCAAATTTTGTCCCAAATAAAATAATAACTAAAAAAAAAGTTGTAGAAAAACCAGTGAGTTAATTTTTACGGGAAACAAAATAAAACCACAAGTATTTTAACTTTGCTTATGAGTTGCAACATGATATTTAAAAAAGAACATGTAAGGTGATGGAGATCATACCTTGGCCAAATTCTGTTGCTTCACTCTAATTTGTGCGGGAGAAATGGTTCTTAAATATGATAAGAGCCATCCTGGCTGCAAGGCATCACTAGAAGAGACGAACACAGCTATCTATCAAATAAACAATGGCCTCAGTCACCACATTGCGAATATATAACGCTATTAAAAACCCATCTCTTGCCAAATTTAAGTACAAAGTGAATGCATAGAGCTCGATTTTGATTCACATCTAATCATATTCCAATCTCCAAATTTACCAACTTTAGCAACTAGATACCAAGGAAAATTCGTACAGACAAACCACCAGAGAAGGTTTTATGCACCTTCCGATAATCAAGTATTCCTTCAAACGGAAGCTCAAGTTCGTCACTGACTATTACTGGGATGCACCCACTGACAATAGCATCAAACAACCTAGCAGATGAAGGAGTATCCCCTGCTGGATGAAGGCAAAAGATTGACCTGGTGAATAAAGAATAAAGCAAGCTAATAAGAAAATTATGTTTTGTCGGCCATAATTCTCAAACACTAGTGATTATGCAGGTATAGCTTTACTTGCGCATGCCCACTTGGGCTGTAGCTTTTCCACCTTCTCCAGCAGTACCCTCCTCTATGACCACATCCTTGGCGCCACTAAGTTCTGTGACAAGTTTGGCACGAATTTTCCCACCCTATGAGCAAAAAAGGAAAGCACTTCTTCTTAGGTATTTCAATGCACGCAGGACCCAGGGCAGGCGGATTATATAAACCTTGTATAAGCAAAGAAAAAAGAAAAAAAAAAAAGTCATGTGAATATACAGCAAAATCTTACAGCATTTCTTTTTAGCCTTCCCCGGAAATATAGCAGAGTAGTTCTCTTGGATTCTGATGAACATTTGGCATCACACAAATCGACATTTGCAACATATGGAAGTATTAAGTCTTTCTCGAGGTAAACTTGTCCAGGCTTATACCTGAGTTACCAAAAAAATATGTTATACATCTATATCAAACCACCATATTGAGTTCTCTGCGGAGACTTAAGGCATGTACTGACCAATTTCCTGTTGAGTCCATATCTGGAAGGAGCCAGATTGCATGTTTCATAAACTTTCTGACAGATTTAAATGACCACGGATGATGAACTGGTAAGATATGATCTCTACCCTCAGACCTCTTCCAAGCTGGTTGGTCTATAACCCACCTTAAGGCTTCCTACTTGAGACAACATAAGTATTAAAACTAGAAGCATTTAACTCATGTTCGTAAATCTTATAATAGATGAGGTGGCAAGAAAGCGCCACCGAAAGTTGTAATCATACACAAGGAAAGACGAGAAACTTGAAAGAATAAGACTCCATGGGAAAGCACTCACACCCTGTAAAGCGCCTTGCATTTTTGTTTCTCCAACAAGAAGAAGCTAATTGTGGTGAAAAATGGAATGTAGAACAAGTCGGCTTCCTCCTGTTTGTATACTCTCACTACATTCTTCAATAACCTCTCTGACTCTGGTGCTATCAAATCCGCCCATAACCAGTAATCGATTGAATGCTACAACCAGAAAAAAAATGGCACATGAATTCACAAGATAAGCACATATAAAAAAACACTTAAATCTGCATCAAGATCCACAATTCTGAGCTTATACAGTTGAAACTGACAAAAAGAAAACAAACTCTAATGGCATATTGAGCTGAAACCAGTTGTTCACAAAAGCTGAATAAATATATACTCACCTGCTCAATTAATCTATGAACTGGACTCCCATTGGAGGTGAGATTAGCTGTTTCTTTATACGTAGTGTGGAACAGCCAGAGCAAATCGTACGTGAATTTGGACGGCATATCGTACACATACACCCTAATCGGAGAATGAAACGGACTTCCGTCTCCATAAACACGTGTCTCCTCTCCTCGAGATATCAAATCGTCAAATATCTGCACGTCCCGTTCAGTGGCGTTCCTTCGAACGGTGTCGCCTAAAGCGTTGGAAGGCGATTTGGAGCTGTAATGAGTCAGGAACTTCTCGAGTGAGGAGACGAAGGAGTAATCGACGTTAGGGTTTCGAGCTGCGAGGATTTGGAGAGTTGGGGAAGA